GACGCATCTGTTTGGTGAACCGACGGTTTTCTCTGCTGATGCGGAAACGAACCGGTTTGTTCTACAGAACGAAGGGAAGCTATTTGAGTGCTCTTATCCAGCTTCTATAAGTAATCTTATGGGGAAACACTCTTTGATTCGTATGCAAGGTTCTTTGCATAAACGTATGCACTCTTTCACCATGAGCTTTGCTAATGCTTCCGTCATGAAAGACCATCTCTTGCTTGATATTGACCGGTTAGTCCGGTTTAATCTCGGTTCTTGGTCTTCTCGTGTTTTCCTCATGGACGAAGCCAAAAAGGTAACACGTTAAATAAATGGCATGCATAGTTATAAACAATAAACAATTTATGTTAATTTTTAAAAAAATGGCACTTTTTATAATAATTATTTAAAGCGGATGAAATTTATACCGGTTTTGGTCAAATGACTTGTATTGTTTTTTGCTAATATGCATGGATGATGTATTACGATTGATGATGATGATGCAGATGACGTTTGACGTAGCAGTGAAGCAGCTAACGAGCTATGATCCAGGGGAGTGGAGTGAGAATTTAAGGAAAGAGTATCATCTTGTTATCGAAGGGTTCTTCTCTCTTTCTCACCCTCTCTTCTCCACCACTTACCGCAAAGCCATCAAAGTATTTTTAACTAATTAATTAGCTTAATTACCCTTTTTAATTATTTTAGACTAATTTAATATATATTTGTATTTTTTAAGGCGCGGAGGAAGGTTGCGGAGGCGTTGACGGCGGTGATTATGGAGAGGAGGGAGGAGGAGAAAGGAGCAGAGAGAAAACAAGATATGCTAGCGGCGTTAATCGCGGCGGAGGATGGCTTTTCTGATGAAGAGATTGTCGATTTCTTTGTGGCTATACTCGTGGACGCTTATGAAACAACACCTACGATCATGACACTCGCCGTTAAGTTTCTCACCGAAACTCCTCTTGCTCTTGCTCAACTCAAGGTATTTATCTCTTTACGTATATGCATGTTCGTGTTACTGCATGCAAACCAATATTTTAGGACAAGCTGCGCATGTGTTATTTGGTTTTAGGGTAGAAAAAGGGGCTTATCTTATTGGAAAAAAATCTTTATAAATATATCAATTTTTTTTTAATGATTATTTGTTGATGTCAAGGTAAGGATGTTTTAATAGTCGCTTAATATAAGCCAAAGTGTGTTGGACTTGTGATATAAATTATACTAGGTGATTTTCCCGTGCTCATGCACGGGTATGAATATTCATAAAAGTAAAGTTTTATAATAATTAATTGCTATTTAGTTTTAGTTTTAGTTTTAATTTTGAATAAATTTATATGTATAATTTATATTAATAAATATTATATTATTCTAATTATACATATGACTTTAGATATATCACTGTTGGTTTAATTATTTTTTGGATCAATAGTCGGTTTGGTTATCAATTTGGTATATGGAATAATATCTATTTTTCGAATTCAGCTATACTATTTTTTATTCTAAATATAATAAAACTTTGATTAATTTTCTTATTTTCATTTCGGTTGGTTATTGTCTTAGATATGTAAATATATTATAGTTAAGTTATGTGTAACTTAATATATATTGTGCTTAAAATGAAATAAAAAATAATCTGAAGTGTTTGATTCAAAATTACATAAAGTAATATAATGATAATATTTTGAAGTCTCATGCATATATATAAATTCTACAAAATAATTAAACTATAATTGGTTAATATTTTCTTTTTCTTTTTAATATACTTTGAGTCAACCTCTAATTTATATGTATAAAATTAAATAGATTATTATTATTATTTAAAATTATATGTTCTTATTGTAGTTTGATGTTTAATTTTGGATATAAATTAGATTAGTCAAGTCATTCATTTTGTGAGCATATTGAGTTAAATATATTTTTAAATTAAAATTGAAGTATAATTACTTTTTATTTGAGTTAAGTCAAATCAAATTATTTTTATTTATCGCTTAAATATACATGTATTTTCATAATATTTATCAAATTATATGATGATTTCTTAAAAATATTAGAAAAAAATGTAACTGATAAATTTTTGAATGGTCATGAACATATAGATTTTTATTATTTTGAAAATATATTTTATGTTATTTAAAAATATATATTAATGGTCGTATTACTATTTTGTCAACTTTCCTTTTTAATAAAGTCATATTATATACATATATTTTCGTTTTTAATTTTTTAAAAAAAAATTAGAAATATTTCCTTTTTATTATATATGTTATTTGGAAAAAGGTAAAAAGAAAACTAAATAAAAAGATTAATAATAATCTTAAAATATAATAATTCATTAAGGGTATCTATGTAATCAACCATCGCGAGAGTTAACGTGAGCGCGACACGTAGGAAACTGACTTCTCAAATAATATTATAGAGATTAAAAAAAAAAAACTGAACTTGATATAAATTTGTTGGTTTACATTTTTTTCTTCTTTTATTATTGGTTGAGTTGGTATTTGCTTGGTTAAAATAAACAGGAAGAGCATGAAAAGATTAGAGCAAGGAAGAGTGATTCCGGGAGTCTTGAATGGAGTGATTACAAGTCAATGACATTCACACAATGTGTGCGTGTTCTTACTTAAAAAAGCTTTATTAGCTCTAGTCTTGTGGTCCCTTTTCACTAATCCATTACAATAATGATTTGTGATTCAGGTGGTTAACGAGACTCTGAGAGTAGCTAACGTCATCGGTGGTGTTTTCAGGCGAGCAATGACGGATGTTGAGATCAATGGTAAAATATATACTAACTTTGAAATGAAAATGAGCAGTTAATTACAAGATTCAGATATGCCAAAACATTCATACATGAAAATTAAAAAAAAAAAAAAAACAGGTTATAAAATTCCAAAAGGGTGGAAGGTGTTCTTATCGTTTAGAGGGGTTCATTTAGACCCAAACAACTTCGAAGACGCTCGCAATTTCAACCCTTGGAGGTGGCAGGTTAATTTTTTTTTTTGTACCATTTTGCATTTCTTGACCTTGATTTAGAGCTTATCTTTGCATTTCTTGATTTTGATGAACAGAGCGACTCGGTAACATCAACAAGCCCTTCTAAAGTGTTCACACCGTTTGGTGGAGGGCCAAGAATATGTCCCGGTTACGAGCTGGCTAGGGTTGCAATCTCTGTTTTCCTTCACCACCTAGTGACTAGCTTCAGGTAAATTAAAACCTTGACATACAAGATAATAGCCCTAATGGAAAGGCTAATAAGACGAATGACTTGGTTTAATTTTTTGTTAATTTTATGAGCAGTTGGGTTTCTGAAGAGAAAGACAAGATGGTGTTCTTCCCGACTACAAGAACACAGAAACGGTTTCCCATCCTCGTGAAGCGTCGTGAATCGTGATGGTGGCTTATCCGCAACTTGAATTAAGTAGAAGAAGAGAGCATGCATGAGATCTTGGGGCTGTTCGTTTCTTCGTTTAAATGATCCATTCGAATGGAGATGAGCTTTTTGTTCGTTTAGACACAAAAAGTACAACTCATTCAGATGATCCATTTGAATGATTTTTGGAAATTTAGGCTTAATTTTAAAGTTCATTCAGCTGAACGAATTTGGATCATTTGAATGAAAATGGTTCATTCAAAATGATATAATGTCTATTATGCCCCTGTTATAATTCATAAATTACAAATTTAAACATAAATTATTCCGTGACACACGAAAACTGAAAAAACCAACAAAATCTCGTTTTCCCGCCAAATCCGAAAAATCTCGTTTTCCCTAAAAATCGAAAAATCTCGTTTTCTCGCCAAATCCGAAAATCTCGTTTTCCCGCCAAAATCACAAAATCTCGTTTTCCCGCCAAATCCGAAACATCTCGTTTTCCCGCCAAATCCGAAAATCTCGTTTTCCCTAAAAAACCGAAAAATCTCGTTTTCCCTAAAAACCGAAAAATCTCGTTTTCCCGCCAAATCCAAAAATCTCGTTTTCCCACCAAATCCCAAAAATCTCGTTTTCCCTAAAAACCGAAAAATCTCGTTTTCCCGCCAAAATCCGAAAATCTCGTTTTCCCGCCAAAATCACAAAATCTCGTTTTCCCGTCAAATCCGAAACATCTCGTTTTCCCGCCAAATACGAAAAATCTCGTTTTCCCTAAAAAAACCGAAAAATCTCGTTTTCCCTAAAAAACCGAAAAATCTCGTTTTCCCGCCAAATCCAAAAATCTCGTTTTCCCGCCAAATCCAAAAATCTCGTTTTCCCGCCAAAATCACAAAATCTCGTTTTCCCGCCAAAATCACAAAATCTCGTTTTCCCTAAAAACTGAAAAATCTCGTTTTCTCGCCAAATCCAAAAAATCTCGTTTTCCCGCCAAAATCACAAAATCTCGTTTTCCCTAAAAACTGAAAAATCTCGTTTTCTCGCCAAATCCAAAAAATCTCGTTTTTCCGCCAAAACAGCAAAAATGCATTTTCCCGCATTGTTGGAGGTTGATTTAGTTTAAATATATTTTAGACTAAATAATAGTAATTAGTATAGTTATAATTAATAGCAAACATATGATTAAATCAAAGCAAGGGTATATATGTAATTTGTTTACCAAACTCATTTGAATGGAAATAAAAAAAAAAAGAAACAAACATGAAATTCATTCAAATGGTTCATTTAGATGACTCATCTAGACGGAAAAACGAACAATCTCTAAAATCTGGATGGATCATTTAGATGGATCACATAGATGGATCAGCTGAACGGAGATAATAAATGGAGAAACGAACAGCCCCTTTATTTAACTTTGTTTCGCTTTGCTCCTTATGGCTCTAGAGCGCTGGACAAAAATTACCATCACTTTAAATTTGTTCTGCTTCATAATGGTTCCAAATGTAACGACGTCGCGCGCGTAAATTCTCAACTTCTCAATAGACACGTCATCATAACTGAACGGGCTGGGCTTTTTTCTCGGCCCATTTAAATTCTTTTTCTTTTTAAAACGTTCTAAAAAAAGATCTAGACTCTAAATAATCGTCGCCGTGGTTTCTCCACTTCCACCGTCGTCTGTCATTCTCCTCTCCACAGTGATCTTTGTGGCATTCCAATCCCGCCTCCCTAGTCGGTGCGTTTCCATCTCCTTCATCTAACAGTTTCCTTTCTCTGTGAACTTTTGTAGTCTCATCTGTTGAATAAAATTTGATTGGAATCTATAATGTAATTTTCGAGATCCGGTTGAAGCAAATGAATCAAATGTAGGGTTTAGGCATTATCTATTCGTAAAAAAGGGATGATGTTTAGGGGTGATTTGACATTTATCTCTGGATTTTTAGGTTGTATATAAGCAAAGGAGATGGAGAAGTTGGAAGATCTGAAAATCGTGGCGGAGCAGTGGTGGAATCAAGGCATTGAGTATCTTCAGAAGATACCACCGAATCAGCTCTATGCAGCCATTGGTGTTCTCTTGTTCACAACCGTTTTGCTACTCTTATCATGTATGTAGCAGACAGACACCACACTTTCTTCATCTCGTGTTCACTGATTGTTAGTTTTGAAAGTTATGTAACCGTCACATTGATTAGTAAAATGTTAGGGTTTAGCATGTTTTTTCAATTTTTTTTCTTGCTTGATTTTTTTTTGTATATGTGATTTATAATAATTTTATATATTTGTGAGGGTTTAGCATGTTTTTCAATAGTTTTTCTTGCTTGATTTTTTTTTTGTATATGTGATTATAATAATTTTATATATCTGTGAGGGTTTAGCATGTTTTTCAATAGTTTTTCTTGCTTGATTTTTTTTTTGTATATGTGATTATATTTATTATTATATTTTCTGAGGGTTTATGCAAATACTTTTCTTTGATTATTACGTAACTGATGTTGATTATGTTGTTGTTAAACTTGTCGTTTTTGCTGGTTTATGCAGTTCGATTGGTGAGACGCACCAAATCCAACACTGTGCTTCTTTCTGGTCTAACCGGAAGTGGAAAGACTGTGCTCTTCTATCAAGTGAGTGTTTTTGGGCTTCACGTTACTTATGAGATGTAATTTAGTTTTGTTAAGTGTCACTAACGGCCAAGTCAGCGTAGATGACAAAGGGTGATTGTTTGGCTGTTATATAACATGATCATTGTTTTATTGGCAGCTCCGAGATGGATCATCTCATCAGGGCACTGTTACATCAATGGAACCCAATGAAGGCACTTTCATTTTCCACACTGAAAACTCTAAGGTAAAGATTCTTACCTTTGGCCTGTCCTAAGAAAACATATGTGGTGCATGTATTAACAGATTCCTAATCCACGTCTCTTGTATTCTCTGTGTGACAGAAAGGAAAAATCAAGCCTGTTCATCTTGTTGATGTTCCTGGGCACTCTCGGCTTCGACCTAAGCTAGAAGAGTTCTTGCCCCAAGCAGCTGCCATTGTCTTTGTTGTAGACGCCTTGGAGTTCCTCCCAAACTGTCGTGCAGCTTCAGAGTAACTTTCTTTTCTCACTCGTACACACATATTCACACACACAATCTTAACACATGAGGCATTTGCCATGGTTTGATTAGGTACCTATACGACATTCTGACCAATGCCAACGTTGTCAAGAAGAAGATACCAGTCCTCCTTTGCTGTAACAAGACAGATAAACTCACCGCACACACCAAGGAGTTCATCAGGAAGCAGATGGAGAAAGAAATGTAAGATTTTTTCAATTTTCTCAACAACTCAATCTTCTCTCGTTTAATCATTTCTTAATTATCTTTCTTTTTTTCTTCTTGCCGTCAGTGAGAAACTAAGGGCTTCAAGGAGTGCAGTATCTACAGCTGACATAGCCAATGACTTCACAATCGGAATCGAAGGAGAAGTGTTCTCCTTCTCGCATTGCGGTAACAAAGTCACTGTCGCTGAAGCATCTGGACTCAATGGAGAAACTGTTCAAATCCAAGACTTCATTCGAGAATACATCAAACCCTGAGAGCCCAATCTATCAAATCCTTATCATAGACTTCTTATGCACTTGGTCTGTGACTGTCATTGGAGTTTAGAGATCTTTTTTTGTATATGAGTTGTTGTCTGAGATCTTTCGAAAGGTTAAAGGACTTTAGTACTAAAAAAAGAGAAATGTTAAACAAAACTTGAAACTAGTACATATATGAGTGTTGTGGATCCATAACACAATTGTTTGAAAATTACTCAAAAACTATATATACAAAATTTCAGATTAGATGGGCCTGTAGTATGATGGGCTACACGTATAAGAGGCCCAAGAAAAACATTGAGTCTAACGCAAGGCATAACTTCTGTTGCCAAACACTCTCCTACTTAATAACGATCTCTCTCCGTACGAACTGGGGGGGGGTTTTGAAACCATTGATGCTGACCTCTTCAATCTCAAACACCATTATACGTAGTATCCTCTTCTTCGCCATCAAAACGACGACATGTTCCGTCGTGTAATTTCTTCTTCTGCAGAAAATGACGACATGCACCGTCGTGTAATATCTTCTTCACAAGCAATGAGCGATGACTACATCCCAAGAACCGTTGAAGATATCTTCATATATTATAGACTACGTCGCGTCGCCTTGCTTCGAGCTTTTGGTACAGGTATAAAACGAAACTTCATTCTTTTCCTAAACCCTAGATTTTATGATCTTTTTACGTAATCTTTCTTTAATCTTTGTTCTTGCTTCTTCTTCTTGCCTGTGTTTACCAGATGTTGGAACTTTATACCTCTTATGCGATCCGGGTAAACATAAACTCTATACATTAGCTCCTCTCTCTGTTATGTTAACTTGTGTTGAATACCTCTGCCTTGCATTTTTCTTGTGCTATATAGGTTATAAGGAGAATCTGTGTTTATACGGATACCCGGATGGGACATGGGACGTGAAAGAAGAATGCATGGTGCTCCCTCCTAATCTTCCCGAGCCAGCGGTTGGAATCAACCACGCAAGAGATAGTAAGAGTACTATTGATTGGGTGACGTTTGTAGCTGAACACTCTGATTCTTGGTTGCTCTCTCTTGCTTTCTTCTTCAGTGTTGACCTTAGTCATCATGACAGGTAACTAACTAGATATCATCCTTTTTTTGACATATGGTTTCTTGCTGTATTGCTGATATATTCATTGAGCAGGGAAAGTCTATTCGAGAAGATCAATGATATCCCAACTCTTGATGAAAAAGTGAAGGAATACTATCCAGGACAGTTACTCCAATCAAGGATTCAGAAAACAAATCCAAACACGGTTTAAGTAAACTCAATGAGGGGTGTACATAGATAGAGGGTGAGAGAGCTTCACCTTTTTTTTTTTTTTTTCACAAGGTTAGGTATTAAACAACAAGGTATTTTGTATTATCTGTTTCAAGAACTCATATCAAAAGCACAAAAATAACGAAACATATACAACTCTGACACTTGAATCTTGTTGATTTCTCTTATTAGCCTCCAACAATAGAGTTTCTAAAGATACTTTCCAGTAACTATTGTGTCACAAATGCAATGTGCATTGAGAAGTATAAATCTTTATTCAGTAGTGTAAGTTAAATAAGCTAAGTATCTTGAAAGGCAAGCTTCAGATTAGTATGGGGCAGGCCCATGTAGAATATGCCTAATAAAAGGCTGACGCAACCAAACTCACCACCAAGTGGCTGTACGTAGTAGTCAAGTGGTTATAAGACCATGTTTATTGCAGGTTCCTTAAGTTGGATCCCTTAGCGTACGGTCTCTTAGCTTTTAACTGAAATTGCTAAGGGACGTTCCTTAAATCCCTTATATAAGGAACGTCCCTTAGCGTTTTCAGTTAAAAGCTAAGGGACTGTACGCTAAGGAACCTAGCTTAAGAGACCTGCAATAATCATGCTCTAAGTCTTAGAGCTGTTGTGATTATGTACACTCATACTGGTTATAATTTAGAGCAAGGTTGTTGATACTCTTGCAACAAACTCCATTCATCTTTCATATTTTGTTTTCCCTTCCCTCCACTATGATCAATTCAAACGTTTTATAAAAACATGTTCAGTCATCCAATTCATTAAAGAGAGGCAACTGTCCATAGTGTGAACAGAAATGCAACTTGCATTTTCTATATACTATTTTACAGTATACACTTTTCTAAATTAGATTATATGCTGTCAGAAGACTTTGTGGTGCCTACCCAGTACCCACCCACTTGAAAAATGCACATGCTTATAATTCTCATTTAATACTATATACTATTATTATTTTTATATAAGTCCCAATATCCTATTTATAGTTCAATTGTTTGACAGACTGAATCTAATGATTAATCCACAGGAATAAGGTAATCCATATGGGAATGAGAGATACTAGACGTCTTTTTGATGTTGGACTATTTATGTCCACACAATATTCTTACTCACGACTAATCCTCTCAATCTACAATTGCAGTAATATTGAATCTCTCAAGCTTTTATAATCGCAGTAAATATACAATGTATGATCATCATTGACAAAGTGAAAAGGATGCCCATCTCCCTCATTTATATATAATATACCAGGTTTAGTCTTTTTATTTATTGAATTTATATGTCATTGGTGTGAAACTAGTTGATTAAGCACTATTGATAGATTATCTTGACGTTAGAGTTCAACTATACATTTGTCTTCTCTTTATACGCTAATTAATTATACTTTGGTCACTATCAGTCAGGTTTTTCAAACATGGCGACAGATTAAACAAAACTAAACAAGGTGCGAATGATAATGATAGATTTTATATATTCTATTGTTAAACTATGTTCACATCTCTTGCAAAATATTAGGTTCTAACATTCGGCACATAGTATAAGAAATGTTATTGTATAAATATATCATCATTCAATATTTATTTACTTGAAGGTAAATCAGATCCTTTGTAAATTGAAAGATTGTACACATACAAGTCAGATTTAAATTGATGAAACAACCAAAACATTAATTTTTTTTTATAGGAAGAGAAAACAATTAACGGGGAGAAACAAGAGATTCAACATGAGACTTGCCTTGTGGACCTTGAGTTCTGATAAAGAGTCTATATTGATCAAAGGTCATGGGAGGATATAAAGGAGGATTATGAGTGGATACAAGTTCTTGTAATGGTTGGATTGGAATATCGCTTTTAGGATTGTAGAAGAAAGCAAGTGAAACTCTTTCTTTCTCTGAGTTCACTATCACTCTATGCTCCACACTCTTGTATGCTGCGTTGCTTAGTATCTGCAATTTTATTACCGCACACACATCAGTTTTGGTTCTAAGATTTATACCAGTTTATAATAAAAGATTAAAAGTGGCCGGTTTAGAATATAAGATTAGAACAATCTTTTGATAAGTCTCCGGTTTAGTATACATTTGTCCAAAAAAACGTAACATGGGCAACCAAACACAAACATGTGCGCAATGGATTATTGCTGTACTATTTGTTTCGTATTAAACAAGGACAGCCACCCAAGTTTTTCAAAACAATTATAATTGATGATTACTTTATTTGGAAAAATTGTCGTTTTACACAAAAACAGGTTGACAGAGATCTACAAGGACGCAATTTCTATTGTAGGAATATTGACATAATAAATTAAAATTTAAAAAGCTATTTTGGTATCAAGTGGTAACTGTTTATCATACTTGCATTTTAAACATGACTAAAACGTGGAACTATACCTTAGATACTCTTCGTTCGTTGTCAAATAACTAATTCGACATTTGTCTTTTTATTAATAGCCGATTTTTTTCAATAAAACAAGGAGAATTATCTATTTCTTTTTAAAATATTAGGTGTGCAAACATTTTATTACAGTTTGTAGTATATATACTACTATTTTACCTATTTTCTCTTCTTTTTTTTTGGTGTAAATGTTGATTAATTTTTTTTTTCTTTTTTAGATATACATATGGTATTTTATTCCATTATATATCTATAATTTTAATATATATATATATATATATATATCTATTTTTATTCTCCAATTATTTTTATTATTTTAACATCTGTTTATATACGTTTTAAAATATTGATATAAATTCTAAAAAGAAAATTACTTAGTTTACCTGAATTTGATCACCAATATTGACGATGAACGCATGAGGATGTGGCTTGACGGTAATCCACATGTCATTTTTACGGACTTGAAGACCAAAAACTTGATCGTCCGGTAATAGAATAGTCATACCACCAGGATCAGAGTGGGAGGAGAGACCTAGAGCCAACTCTGGTCGAGGGCATTTCGGGTAATAATTAACTCTCAAACATGCTCCAATGTTTTCACCTCCAAAAGCATCTTGAAACTTATCCTCCTTTAATCCCAAGTTTAACGATAATACCTTCATGATTCTCCCGCATAGGTCCACTACTTCCTTCCCATACTCATCGATTACTCCTCTATTTAAAAATAATATATAAAATAATTAAATAATCTTTGAATCAAGTTCCAAATTTGTACTTTTTGTTTTTGTTTTTGGTGATTCCAACAGAACCTATCACAAAATTCTATGGTAAAATAAAGAGATTCTCCTCACATTCCCCAATAAACTAAAAGTACTATTTCTCAAATTCGTACCGTTTGTTCCCTACATTTTAACAGTAAAGAAAAACAACTAACTTTGCTCAAAAGAAAAAAACCAACTAACTTTTTGGTAACTTCCTAGATTCTCCAAAAAGTAAAAAGTAAAAAAAAAAAAACATGAAAATTATCAAAGAATAGAGGATGAACCTAATGGTGGGAGGAAAAGAAGGCCACTTGTTGAAGTCTTTCAAACGAGGAGGAAGAAGATGGAGAAAATAATAATCACTCCAGTCAAGAATGGCTCCTTTCTCAACTCCTAGTCTGCTTCCATAGCCTTCATAGGTTTTTGGTGAGTTCTTATAAGTCTCTTTCTCATTAACCGGCAAATGGAAAAACTCTCTCCAATTCTCTCTAGCCGCGTCCATCAGCTCTGGCTTCACACCATGGTTCAACACCTGGAAGAACCCCCACTCACGGCAAGCCTCGGATATCTGAGCCATGATGGCCTCATCTGCCGACCCTTCTTTGGAGAAGAGTCCTTCAAGGTCTATGATTGGTATGTTGGTCGCGGCAGGAGCCTCCTCTATCGTGGTGGGACGTTGAGAGGCTGGTTTGATGTAGCGGTCGGGGAGAGAGGAGAGGTTGCTCTCGGCTAAGGACTGGACTCGCACGATGGGCTCAGGCCACTCATCCATCGTGGACCCTTTCTTTGTCTCGATATTCACTTCCTTCTTGTTCTTGTTCATATCCTTTGTTTTGATGTATTGCTTCTTGCTCATGTGAGACGCGTTTTAGAGAGGAGAGGATTTTGTGATAAATAATAATAAAAAAAGTTGATCGATGGAAGGACTTTAAAAGAAGGGTAAATTGTGGTGGAGGAGAATCCAGAAATCGGCTCTAGAAGATGAAAGCAATCTCTCTTTCTTTATTAATGAAACGTGTGAAAATTATTATTATTATTTTTTGGGACACAAGGACAAAAATGTATCGTGTCGACTGGTGAAACTATGAATTACTATGAGCTTAAGGCAATATATCGTGTCAAAAATATTTATATTTAATTGTATTTGAATCATTTCATTTCATTCATTCTTTCCATTCCTCTTTTTTATCATGAATAATTTTCAAAATAATTTATAGTGTTAACCCACAGAATGACAGAAATATGTGAAATCAATTTTTTTTTATTTTCCATTTAACAGGTAAATTATTTCTGGAATTTCATGAATGATTAATTTCACATAATTTCATTCATAAAAAAATATTTCAGTTACAGAATCTCTTACTCCCTCTGTTTTATATTATAGTGTCCTTGTATAGAAATTTTTTTCTTATAAAGTAAATGTTATAAGAAATATGACTAGGTGTATTGGTAGTTTTTTTATATATAAAATATGTAAAATTATTTTTTTAATATATGTGCATAAATATAAAATGACACTGAAACATAAAAAATAATAGATTAACTAAACCAGTTTGCCCAATTGGAGACACGTGCCATGGGGGATTGTATGAGATTATGATTATTTTTATAAAAAATATTTTCTAAACTTTATAATATATACGGATATTCCTAAACAGTACTGTCATCAATCATGATTTAAGAGCCATAAAACAAATCTCATGATCTATTATTCGTACAATAATTTGTTGTTTTTCTCTTGATAAAATACAATTGTTTGTTGTTTGTCTTATTTGTCATTGACCTATATGTTATACTGGATATATATTTCAGATGTGACTAATACAAAATATTAGATTACCAATTCTAATGTGAATTGTTTTCCTCACTCTAATCATTATTTTTAGTCTTTAGATACTTGTTTTTTTTTGTGAAATAACAGAAATAATAATAATTAATTTTCTAGAGAGAAGACTAGAGAGAGATAGGAAGAAAGAGATGAGAGAGGATAAGATTTTGGTTTAGTTAATTAATTTGATTTTTTTCTAAGTCACCAGGTGCAATTTCCCTAGATAGTCTGTGTTTTTTTTTTTCAAATAAGACAAGCTAAAAAATCTAGAGAGTGATTCTCGATTTCTAGATCAATTAGTCTACAATGACAACACTAACTAGTCATTTTTTTGGGTCAAATACAACACTAACTAATCATTTCGATAGGTTGCTATGCTAGGCATTTATCCAGCATTTTTTTTTTTGAAAAAAAAAAGACATTTTATCCAGCATTTTACGTGAGTTAAAAGTAAAGTAATAATAATAATGAATTATTAATTGATCAAAATATCAAAACTCTAATCAAAAATTCAAAATCCAACTGAATTATAGGTGATATGTAGTGCAAATATTAGTTATTATTTTGGTTGAAGACTGATTAGTTTTCCAGTGAATATACTACATCACTTTGATTTTTAAATGAGTGTTAAATTGTATTTCATATTAGTTGCAGTTTGATGATTTTGATAATCAAATATAAATGGTTTATTTTCTAATCATGTACCACGACTTTTCAGCTTTCAGAAATCAAAATTTTGAGATATTATTATGAACACATGAACGGTAGTCGACATACCTGAGCTTCTAGCAATCTACATTTGTTTCTTTTCTTTTCTTTGTCCAGAGTATAGTCAACGCTTTGGATAAAAGAACAAAAAACTTATAAAAATATTAAAGTACTATTAATCCTATTGATAAGAAACTTGAAATATTATCACGTGGGCTAATAATCGTTATGTAGGATAACGTCGTCAATGACGTAATGCTTTTACAAGAAAAAACGCTGAATAAAAGTTTGTTCTCTTCTAGAATTTTTTGGATGACCTATCCTCTTTGGTGAAATATCATATTTAGGAAATTATAAAGATAAGAGTTTCCGAGTCGAGACCGTACAAAATTTGAAATTCGATCCACAGTTCATGGTTTTTAGTTTCGGCGATTTCTCTTCAATTAAGTCTATAAAACATGATAAATATATATTAGACTAAGTCAACTCTGAACAGGGCTGATTCTAAAATTTTGGGAATCTAAGGCCATATTTTAACGATTTTAACTAAATTTTTTTTATTAGATTTAGGGGTCTAAAAAAAATTAAGGGCCAAAACTAATGTTTCATCCGGTATAGCTTATGACCGGACCTGACTCTGAAACCAATAATAGAATCATACCTAATAGACCTTTCTTTGAGATTAATCACCTCTTTTTTTTTGTAATTAATCCTAATGTATCTCGGGAGATGAGCCTAGAGTCCTAGACTAATCTTCAAACAGAGGTTCAGTCTAATAATAAAATTTCTCTCCAAATATACAAATGAATCCGGAAACATGGATTTATGTCCATACTAGATAAGGCCCGTGCGTTGCAACAAATTTTGTTTGATGTTTTAATTTAATGAAAAACATAAAATAATAAATAATTTTATTATAGATTTAGAATTCTTTTTTGTATAAATTGTGTGAGATTTATTTTATAGCTAAAAACTTCTTAATATTATTAAAATTGGAAAATATATATTTCTAATAATAAAATTAGAATAACATTTCAGAGGTCATGTGGTGTTTTATTACAAACATCTATTTTCTTCTTATTATTTATATATACGATTACATCTGTAACAAAATTGTGTTATACAATAATGTTATTTCAAACAAAATTCATTACAAATACCCAATCAATTGATAGAAATATATAATGTTCAACAACCAAATTGATACAAAAAAATTATATAAAATTGTGTTTAATTTAATTAGCATTAAATTAATTTTCCTTCGGGTTTAATCTTTTTATTAAGAGAAATACGATTTAGTCTTATTTAAAAAGATAATTATTATTTTAAAAAAGGATAGTTATTATTTTCTACAATTATCTTTTCTTATTTTTTTTTCTTTTTAAGGTTTTTTACAATTACATTATTTTTAAACAATAATTACTATTTTTAAAAGGAAAATAACTATTTTATTTTCTGTACAATTATCCTTTTGTTATTATTTGAAAGAATGAAAATTAGTGTTAAATTTATATAAAAGGATAATTACTATTTTCTAAGAAAAAACAGCTTTTCCTTTTTAATGCTTTTTTACAATTACGATTGAATTTTTAAAAAAGAATAACTACTATCTTTTAAAAAGGATAATTACTATTTTTAATTATTAATTGATTTGTATTTTAATACATATCACAATCTTAAATATATAATTACAGTGCATAAATAACATAATTTAGTTTTGATCAGTAGATGAATTGAACAAACATGTTAGCATCACATCTCTTTTCTCTTACCATCCGACCACTATCATGGACAATAATAATGAACTCTTTCACCACTAAAATATGTTTATTATTATGTGTATGTCTTTAATTGTTTTTTAAAAAAAACTTTGTATAGGTGGAGCTTGAATACAAACTGTGGGTGGTCAAATGTTAACTGTCAATAGTATCATTAAGTGATATGATTCATTAGGATCGAAAAGCTAAATGAAATGTGTTATATATTATTTTATTTTTTTTTGATACAGAAAAGAAGATATCACATAGAAAGGAAAACTATATTAGCAATGGATTTTGAAGTCCTCCGCCAATACTGTTAATTAGACCAGGCTCGCCATGAGTTTTTTGCTACAATTTCCTTTGATATCGTCTAACCGATTTGTCGTATACCTCTCTACATTTAAACACGTGGGCTTCATTTTTGACCGTCTATAGCTGTTCAGTTAGTTGAAAGAAGATTTTAAACTCAACATATAATTTTTTGCGATTTTTCTATTACTGAATCGTACGGCAATGTAATTCACTTCTATGTATGTGACCTGTATCCGCTCACATACTTTCTTGTACAATTGTAGGTGTTTAACTAGAGCAAAACCTAAATAATTTTCAGAAGATGATACTCTGATATATATATATATATATATATATATATATATATATATATATATATATATATATATATATATATATATATATATATATATATATATATCTCAGTTCCGGATTTTCTTATTGAAGCCTAAGACCATGATATCATGTCACATGGCTAAGCAACTGACAACTTTAGTTTTTTGTAGGAATTGCATCAAGATTAACGGATTTACGTTTTGACTCAAAATCTATTTTACCACTATACTTCCCCTGCTTGGTTTTCACAGATTAAGCATACATAGTGGTCAAGTTTCTCATGAGACTTGCACCAAAAAAAAAGTTTCTCATGTGACCTCTAGGGAACCTTAGTTTACTTTGATGATATAATTGATCAAATCATGTTTTGAACTTTCTCCATATACATCATCCTATATCATAAGAGTCACAATTATGGTGGCATTTTGATATATAAAATATGTAAAGCACACATAAGTGTTTGTGGACACTCATGGCTATTAGCCAGCAATAGCGATCTTAATTTTAAAAAGATTTTGTCTTAAGAGATATATAATATAAACAACTATATGTGAAGTTGATCTGCACTATGGCGAGGTTCATAGCGCATCGTACGTTTTGTAAATGGTGAAAACAGTTGAAGCGCATCGAACGACATGATAAAATCTAGAGATTTCAAAACAAAATCTTCGAGTTGCTTTTAAATTGTCGCTATTCTTTACATTTTAGGTATGTGTAGATATGTAGGAAAGCCCACGTTGAGAGTAGTGGATTTCATGCTTCAATTTAAAGTTGTTATCAAAGTATAATCGAGTCTCTCCATATTTGGCAAACTTCATCCCTTACAATTTCACATACACCACTTTGTATCAATAAAATGTTGTCTAAACAAAAGGAGAAAAGAACACTAAACTCTGAAACAATATATGACGACTGGTTTAATACAGATTAAATTTGAGTTAATTTTCGAAATTATCAAAATATATTTTCTCAAAGGCATTTATTCTGTTTTTTTTTTAAAAAACCAACTGTATTCTGATCTCATAAACCGATAATTTTATAATGCTCTCTCTGTTTCAGTTTATATATCGTTGTAGAGCAAATTTTTCGTTTCAAAATAAATGTCATTTTATAGTTTTGATGCAGAATTTATTAATTTTATATATTTTTCTATTTTTTATTAGTTGAAATGTGGTTAAATGTATAGGTAATTGTGTTTTTATTTTAAAAATATATAAAATTGAATGTTTTTTTAATCTGTGTGCAAAAATCTAAAACGATAACTAAAATAAATCAGAGGAATAATGCTTTAATAATATTGTTTGGAGCTTTGAGATTTTACCACATATCGACTGGGTCAGATAGGTTCGTTAACGTTATTATGTCTCACCTGTCTTTCGTTATTGGTTGGAAGATATGTATTTTGCCCACTCCCCGACATATATGCCACATCATATAGATATGTTTAAAACCAATTCGAAGTGGTAACTTGTGTGAGTGTGTATGTATATATATGCCTAATTTATATTATAAAGTTATTCATCAAATAATCATAATTCATTGTGAGACTTTAAATATCATTTTAGAGTGTTGATGTTTAACCCGTACTCTCTAACACTTGCACGCATATCCGCCACATCCAACAAGGTTTTCAATGGTGGAGAAACATTTTATAATTTTCATTCCGAAAGTGGTAGAATGACTAGATGTATATCTAGAAATCCTAGTCTCTCATTGCCCAAAACAAGTGCTACATCACCAAAACTATTGTTAATTTTAAAATACTCTATAGCTAGATATTGATTGATTTATCAAGAACAGGAACCGAAAAAGTGTAAAGCATAAGTAAACAAATAAGGTCGAAGGAGAAGCCAAAAGAGAGATAAGTTATGTGGAAAAAGATGAGGTTGCAAGCCTAAAAGAGGGTTAAAGAGATGAGTTTGCGCCTAACAAGGACGAACGAATGAAGTTACGTTTGCTTTACAATTAAATATAATTTTCTAAACAGAGTTTTGTGTTGTTTAGCTGTTCGTCGACTTCTACATATGCATATTAAAATAAATGATAAGAGGGAACTGAATAGTTTGGTACGTTCGAGAAACAATCACATTTTGCACGTGCTTAATATAGAGGGAGACAAATTGTGGTAGGGATGGGCACACTCTGATGTAATGAACCGCCGTGTTGCTAGAGATGTCGGTAAATGTTGCCTTCGCAAGTCTTATCATGTGCCCTCGAATAACTAGGCGTTCACACTTTGATATTTTATAAAAAATACAACAATAATTTGGTATCATGTTTTATGAAAAAAAACATGTATTGTTTGTTTTCCCAACTTGCAATTCGTTGATTAAAATTCAAAAGACAAGTAGTCTAGTTGTGCTAATCAAGAGGCAACACCTAACCCACATGAGAAACATAATTCCAAAAGTGGACTGAACAACAAATTATATTATTAAAACGAAGTATGTACTTACATCTTGGCATATTATGTTCGTTAATATATTAATATGGACTGTTAAATTAGAAAAACAGTTGACGACAAAAAAGGAAATTAAAAAAAACAGTTAACATTAATCAGATAGTTTTCGTAAATGTAGAAATATTAAAAAGAGAGATCTTATAAAAGGATTTCCGGTTTAAGAAAACCAAAACGAAATTCAATAATCCGACTCGTTCGGTTAACACCTAATCCAAATACTTCCCACAAATCAGACAAAAACATATCTTAATGGGCCTAGTTGTTGGCCCATTGATCAAAGATATTTGTTATTTCATCTTGGGCCGTACGTTTATGTTGCTTAAATTAAAAGCTAGCTAGAATCTAAAAGGAAAGATCTTGTTTCAATTTTCGGATATATCTGTAAATATAAACCATATGATCCTCAAGAAACAAAAGAAGTACGTCGATCATGTAAAACAGAGTATTTTACTACCCCATTACTTTCACACCACGCAACCGTTCAAAGTGCCGTGGCTCCATCACGCTAAAGACTTTCCGACGAGATGTTTACCGTCCCATCACCGGTAAAGACCGACTTTTCGGACAGACACAAATAAATCCTCAACTCCAGCAGCTCAAGTTCGATATCCCTTCGAAACTTCTAGCATCCGGATCCGTCGAGACATGCCTCCAACACGTGTCTCTTGTTTTGAAGCACGTTGAGCTAGTGGTTCTTGAAACTTTCGTTTTGTACACCATTCAGCTCTTTGGAGAAAGCCAAGGGAGAACATTCGAGTTTGAAGCTAATGTGGAACATGTGGAGTTGCACTTGATGGAAGAAAGTAAAGGCTGGAGAACTTGTATCCCGATTAAGTCTGTCGATTATTAATGATCCAGTCCCTATCAAATCTCTGCGATTCTGGCAATCATGTATCATCAGCATTTATGGCGGAAGCCGTTGCTGTCCATTGCGCGGTTTCATGCGCTATTTTCTCAAACGTCTGATCCTTGGCGGTTCTGTCTGAATTGTTCGGTTTCACGTTTGTTATCTATCACTTTGTACCTCTTTTTGATGTAATTTCCTTTAGTTTCATTTCATTAAAATAAGTATAATCCAAGGGAAATTAAATTCTTAATATTTTAACTCACAAAACAAAATTTTAAGAATATACACATGTTTCGTTTGGATTCTTAAAATCATTACATTGTTTTATTTCTATAGACTTTTACAATATACAAAATTTTCTACAAATTCTTTCCAAATTTAATAAATCTTTTTAATTTTTAAAATCAACGAACTCTATAAAAATCTAAATAAGTCGTACTACTCTGGATGAGAAGGAGGAGGAGAGTCACCGTTGGCCAAAGTCGCCGTTGCAATGAGGATAACGAGAACAGAGAAAGGCAAGGCTCGTTGACCATGTTTCTTGTTAATTGGAGAATGTAATATGTCCTCTGTTTCTTGTGATTCAAGGAATAGAAATACACCTATTGTATATAGAATGATATCAAGACATTGACAAATCGTATTAAACGTGAGTGCAACTAATCGAGGAGATTACATGTCTTGTATAATAGGGAGGCAATGCAGCTTATTTCGTGATTGCCATTGTCTTTCTCAACGGTATAAATTATTGAAGTTTTGTTTATCTAATCTTTATTCACTGACAGAGACCTCTTGATTCATGAATATATAAACCGGGAAAGAAAAATTGAAAATACACACCAGTGATTAGTACGCCTCTTATATTTTGACACGTAAACAAGTTAAAGTTATCCGAATGTGACGCTCGAATTCCGTTACAGCAGCTTGGACCCCACACTGTCACTATCAAAGCTCTTTATAATAGCAAAAACTACTCGTAGTTGATTACTGAAACAATAAAACGCTATGATGTTTATCCACGGCCGGCCTAGCCTCTCTTCATTGACACTGGAGCTTTGCATTGGCCTTATCGAATAATCAAAATACACTATAATGTCGGAGATGAACCAAAACGGCGTCGTCTTCCTCGTACTCGCTTTCCTCACCGCCACCACCGTTTCACTCCCTTCTTCCCCGGACAGATTCCTCAAATCGGCGTTGACTTCTCTCCGATCACCGGACGTTCCCCAAGAGTACCAAGAACTCACTCTCCCCTCACCTTCCGATCACCTCACGCCGTCGTGCTCTCATCTCCTCCTCCGCCACTCCTTCGCCAACACAATCAACAAACCTCCATACACCGCTCCCTACACTCCTCCGCCATCCGATTGCACGTCTCCGCCGTGGTCTCACGTCAACCTCGACCTACGCGCCGCCTCGAGCGGCGATCAATACGATCGCATCTCCGGCCTCTGGCTCGGCGGCGTGGAGCTTCTCCGCACAAGTACGGCGGAGCCGAGTCCGACGGGAATCTTCTGGAAGGTTCGTAAAGACGTCACTAGATACTCCTCGCTGTTCACGAGATCTGATTTAAACGTCACGATGATGCTCGAGAACATCGTCAACGATGTTTACACAGGTATTAATTAGAGTTATCGGTTTAATGTTGGTTTAACACAGCTATTAATTAGAGTATCGGTTTAATGTTGGTTTAGTTATTGTACACGGTTTACATAAAATCCGGTTCAGTAGCCACAATAACAGACTCTGTAATGAGAATTTACACAGGTATTAATTATAGTACCGGATTAATTTTGGTTTAAAACAGGTATTAATTAGAGTTATCGGTTTAATTTTGGTTTAGTGTCGTACACGGTTTACATAAAATCCGATTGAGTAGCTACTATAACTGACTCTGTAACAGACTCTAGACTCTGTAACGAGAATAACAAACTCATAGGTATTAGTTAGAGTATCGGTTTAATGTTGGTTTAGTATTGTACACGGTTTACATAAAATCCGGTTCAGTAGCTACTATAACAGACTCTGTAACAAACTTAACAAACTCATTTCATAGGTATATATCACATCAATGTCACACTCAACTTCTACGAGTTCAATACCATTGATATCAGTAGAAGAGAGTCCCCGGCGGATTTGATTATTCCGGTAAGTAACGACGGAGGAGGAAACAGAGGATTCTGGTTCATGATTGAGAACTCAGAAGAGAGTTACTCGAATAAGATCCAACTTCCGTTGAATACTCGTAAGATTGTGTTGGAGCTCTATGTGTCTTCTCATGGAAACGATGAGTTTTGGTATTCGAATCCGCCGGATTCGTATATCGTAACGAACAAGTTGGCGACTGGTCGTGGTAACGGTGCTTACAGAGAGGTTGTTGTGAAGATAGATGGGAGGAATGTGGGATCGGAAGTGGCGTTTCCGGTGATTTTTACTGGTGGGATTAATCCTCTGTTTTGGGAGCCTGTGGTTGGGATTGGTGCGTTTAATTTACCTACGTATGATATGGACTTGACACCGTTTCTTGGGATGGTTTTGGATGGGAAGGAGCATGAGTTTGCGTTGAGTGTTAATAATGGGATATCGTATTGGCTTGTGGATGCTAATTTGCATGTTTGGGTTGATCATGAGGCGGTGAGTGTTGAAGCTGGGAGTGGGAGTTATGATAGTCCTAAGCGTCATGTGGTGAGAAAGGAAGTGTTGGAAGAGCAGCTTGATGGTTCTTTTAAGGTTGAAGCTGAGGTGCGTAGTGAGTTTGATGGGTGGGTTAAGTCAAGTGAAGGTAATCTGACTACTGTTGTTAAGAGTGTGTTTAAAGTTGGGAGTTTGGTGAAGTTTGAGGAGAATGGTGCGTACAAGAGAGTTGAACAGAGAGTGGAGACTAAACGGGTCGTGGAGGTGACTAATGAATTAGGGAAACAAGTGAATAGAGTTGTTCATGAACGGTCGTATCCACGAACCGTGATCACTTCTACTCTTAGAGGGTTGAGTAATGACAAGGATATGTATGTGCTCGTGACGAATGTTTCACAGGCGTTGAATGAGAGATATTTAGTTGGAGAAGCTTTGACTGAAGTTTATAATAGACAGGACTCAGATGGTTGGATGCAGGTTGAAGATCACAATGTCTTGGCTGGTGAAGCGAGGACAAGACAGAGTCTAAGCTATATTGATGAGTTTGGATGTTATTCACGCACCGTTGTTGCGGCTAATGGTGAGATCGACCAGGACAGTTCATCTGATACTTGCCCTTCGTCTTCATCCTCTTGATGATAACAATGTGAGAACAAGATGTAACATTTTCCTTGTATAAGAGATGTTTGTACTAACTAATAAGTAATAACCATGTCCAGGGAAAAACAAGAGATACAATGCATTTGCTTTATTCGTTAAATTATTCTTCTTAATCACTATTATATATAATCATATGCTGACCAGTGACTAGACCATGCATTAGTCCTCTTTATTGTCGCAGGAGTTGAGTTCACAAAATGGACCACTGATCAAATCAACCCACAACAACAGAACTTTGAACTGAGACTCTCTGTCTCAACCAGAATGTTTGGGGAAGCATCCAGCTCCTGCCATGACCCATCTTCACCCCAGGTCTGAATCACAAAGCTGACTTTCTTCACATCTGGTCCAACCACCATATCAGAGACATAATAAGCATTAACATGAGCCGTCCCAAGAAACACTTTCTCGCTTTTTGGTTCATCCATTACCTTCCTTGTCCTGTAATCACTCGACTTCAGACTTTCTGCATACACATTGTACGTTGTAAACACATATTCCTCCTCAGGATGCTTCAGTCTCCACTCTAGCTTACAACTTAAGGTCCTGGAGCCAGAATCACCAGGTACAATGGCTAGGTTATGAGCCTCGATAACCCATGATGAAGCTGGGGGAAATAGTTTGGTTTTCTGCTGGGACTTGATAGAGATATGTCCAAGCAATGCAGAATATCCTTTTGTGTTTTTCTCTTCTCCAAGATCATCTGGTCCGTAGCACAAGGCAGAGATCTCAGTCAGTGTGTGTCCATCCATAAGAAGGTTTGTTTCGTACACTGTCCAGTCGGATGTGGTCCTTCTTAGGCATGGCAGGAACATGTCACCAAATCTGTGCATGTATTCATTTGGAGCCATGAGTAAGGACTTTGTCTCCTGTGAAGGAGTTGAAAAACTGAGGAGAATGCCTAGCATAGATCTTTCATCTGATTTCACCTACACCAGTCCAAACACTTACAACATGAAGACGAGGTCAAGTATTATCGAATTAATCAAAAATGTGATTGCATCCATGACTTACAGAGTAGGAGACAGAGATGGGAGAACCAGAAAGCTGAAGGTTAGGTTTGAAGAGTCTTGCTGTGAAATGTTGATTTCTCTTTAGTTTTCCTTTGAAACTAATGTTCCCTCCTCCATTATATGATGCTTCTTGACTCCTGTTAGATATAGTTTTCTTCTTAGACCACTTTAAATTCAACTACGCAAGGCTAGTGTTAGGTTCAGAACTCACTCAACAGTGACCTTCATGTTCTCTGACTTGTTTACTTCATGGAATTCTAAGAGTGGCTGTCACAAAGAAGACAAGATCAAATCAAGAATGTGATTATTGTATATACTAGATGCTTGCAATAGAGCCAGAAGCAAGGAGTGACAGTTTAACCTGAAGAGTTTGGCATGAAATGTTGTACCAGGGAGCATCTGATAGTTTCTGACCTTGGAGAGAAACATGAGAACCAAGTCCCTGGATAACAAACAAGAGAAGCTAGTTTCAAAACTTACAAGAGCATTGCATCTTTGGAGACTAAGTGTACTGAGAATCACCTGATTGAAGTCTGAGTAGAAGGGTAAGGATTGTGGATATGTTTGAACTATTCCCCAAGACTTCTCAACAAGTGACCACCATCTACAACAACAAAAAGAGAATCCATGATGATAACTGATAAAGATCACATAGATCCTTTTATACCATCAAAAAGGGCTAATAAGTAATACCTGTTTTGTGCTGTATGATAATCAGGTGGTTGATCTGTCTCGTATACCCATCCAGGAGCAAATAGCGCAGCTGATACATCGCTGCTCTTCAGCAAATCAAGTGCAACATTTGCCTACCATCATGTATAAGAAACAAAAACAAAATTTATACATGCAGCTTGAATAAGACAGAGAAAACCAAATATGACAGAGATACATACCTTCCACTGGCCACCACCGAAAGTGTTCCGGCCAAACACATCTATTCCCATGTAGACATCATGTTTTCTGTCACCAGCAATTTTACCTGATGCTTTGGGGTAGTCCTTCTGAAAGAGATGCTCACTCATATCAGCATCAAAACATATATATATATATATATATATATATTAGGAGTGAAAGGACAAACCTGCCATGTATAGTTCATGAATATTCCATCACATATATCAAAGAAAGGTTTGTTCATTTCATTCAACTGATCTTGCCAAGCAAGACTCCCCTCAACAGTGACACTATCATACCTAGCATTCAAAAAAACTTACAAGAATCAACACATTTTAAAAACAGAACACAAAAGAGTGAGTCTGAGCCTTCTCACCATATAACTAAACTCCCAGGTACTGATGAATGCATGACTTTTGTTAGATGGCTTACAAAAGCCTTCAAATTTGGAATCTGGACTTGATCTATTTCGTTCTCTATATTTAACTGCAAGTAACAACATTTCTAAGGTGAGTAATGGAACCATCAAAACAAATAAAGATATAGCCAAAAAAAGAACCTCACCAGCCACCCATCAAAGCCTAGAGAAGAAGCAAGTTCACCCAAGCGCTCTGCATACATCTCTGCAGACTCCTTTGTTGCCAACAACTCCTTGCACTTAGCTTTCCCTTCGTCCGATTCTGTGATGAAAGTCCCCAGAACCTTATAGATTCAAACCCTCCCATCAGTCACATTCAAAGATCTAAAACTTAAAAGATACTTCAAGAACAAGATCCCATCTAAGTTTCCAAGATCCTGAAAGGGTTATGCTGACCTTAACACCGTGTCTGTGAGCAGTGTTGGTCCAGCAAGGAGGAGGAAGAGTGACAAGATAGTGAGAGAAGTAGACAAAGACATCCATCAAGTACCAGTTCCAGATCGAGAAACCTGTGTTGTTTCCACATCCTTGTACCCACTTGTCGTCAACGTACCCTCCTTTCATGTCGTGGCAAACAAGAAGCCTAGAACGGTCAGGCAAGGAACCGGTGTTCTGTCGGAGAGAGACAGAGGAACGGTTAAAGGGGAAGTGAAAGGAGTCGAAGTAAGAGCGAGAAGACAAGTCTTGAAGAGTTTTGATAGGAAATGAGATTGGTGTGGATGGCTTAGTGGCATCGAATGGTGGAAGTGGAACTTCATCGTTGGATATGGACATCATGAAGGAGAGGGAGATTACAGAGAATGATTCCAGAGAAGAGGGAGACCAAGACGATGGTAGTTATGGTCTCCTCTTCTATAATATTTTATAGTTTTTTTATCAGTTATTTGTTACTGAGAGAGATTGTCCTCTTTTATTTATGGAGAGTATTTATTTACAGAAAGACATTGATCATGGATAAAAAAAGAAATAATTATTTGATCTATCATGGATGTATTAAAAGTTGTTTATAGAAAAACACTTTTGAAGAGTTTTGATTCAATTTAATTATAAAGGCACTTTTATAGTGGTTAATATCCATTAAATCCTTGAAAACTGATGATGACGTTTTATTTATTTAATTTAATATTTTAGGTTAAAATGAAAAAGAGTGATTCCTTTTGCTAATTTCTCCATTATTTTCAAAATGGTTAGACCCAATTTTAAAAACTGGAACAAAAAACAAAACATGATCCCACCTGCTTCATAAAAACTAGAACAATTTGGTTGTTTTGGTCCGGTTTCTTCGAAAGCCCATTAATAGAAGAGATGCTGACCCTTTGTCCCATTGTTTACTTCTCTCTCGGCAATTCAAAATAAATTTGGTCAACAATACACATGTAAATTTAATTATTATCAATTTTCATTTCTTATAGAAGATTACACAAAATATATATATAAAAAAAGATTACACAAATACCAGTAGTAGAAACTATAGGCATCTGCATTGGTCATAGTCTCTCATCAAATTTCTTAAGTATATGATAATGATACAATTGATTTTACAATTAACTATAAATATAAATAGTATAAGAAAACCACTGAAAACAAGACACATATTACAAAATTTTCTTGTGTTTTATTTTTGGTCTCTAGTACTATCTCTACTCTTTTTTTTTTCTATCTCTCTACTTTCTATTTTAATTAATGTGTTTATGATATCTTTTGTCAAGTTTGCAGTTGCTTACTTTCTATCATACTTTTGTGTGCCTACTTCTTACTCTGGTCAAGGCCAATGTCGTGGCTGTTTTCAGATCCAACTCCTGTGGATCAAGATAGTTAATTAGAATTTTTATCCTTTGAACTTTATAGGATTTTTTTTCTTTAGATTTTTCTATCTTTTGAAAACCATTAAAACTTTATGGTGAATGATTGCTCCAATTAATCTATTTTCCTTAATTTTTGTTACAAATTTGATTTTCTTTATGCTTAAACCTCAATTTTTTTTGGAAAAATGAATTACACATCATGTTTATTGGACACATATCGAGTTTTTTGATCAGAATATAGATGAAAAATAAATTGCAATTATTTGACAAATAAAATTAACACATGTCCAAATGTAGATGAGAGATTATTACCAATGCAGATGCTCTAATCTATTCTACCAACAGCCTAATTAAAAATAAACTTATTCTACTAGTAAAAAGAAAATAAGAGTCTAACTTACACAAATGCAGCCGAGCACTTCAGATAATATTATCCAACTTCATTAAATATGTAAGTATTTTGGCAATACATATGTTTTGGTATATTTTGTGCCTTTTTTGTGCAGTGGCAATATGTATTGTATGTTTGTTAGTTTGCATGGCTAAGCTATTTTTCTTGGAATCATTGTTGGGAGACAACCATGTGTGCACAATATGTTTTTTAATGTTCTTATATTTTTCCAACAACATAATAATAATATTAATGATGAGATTTTTTTATGGTGTCTCTTGTATTTTTCATTGTCCTTACAACTAACTATGTGTCTTAGAATATGTCGATGAGTTCATGCAGTAACAGCCACGAAGATACTACGAATCATTCACAGTTCCAAAATATGGCTTGATTATTTCCTTAGAATACTGAGAAAAATCTAGTGAAATATATTCGTAAGATTCGACTTTGGACACTTTCGAACGTGTGATATTATACTACTTCATCAATAAATGTTGTAATTTCATTTGTGTAGAAACTTCGTTCTTCTATAATATTTTATACTCGTTTCAGTTCACTTTAGTTGTTATTTTATGTTTTTGCACATAGATTAAAGAAATATTTAATTTTACATATTTTCAAAATAAAAACATAATTACCTATACACCTAACCACTTTTCAATCAATAGAAAAATAGAATATCATATAAAATTAATAAATTTTGCCTTTAAACTCTAAAATGACATTATTTTAAAACAAAAAAATTTCTCTAAAATGACAACTAATTCGAAACGGAGGGAGTATTTTTTTATCAGTAGTATTTGTTACTGAGAGAGATTGTCCTCTTTTTTTTTTTATTATGGAGAGCATTTATTTACAGAAAGACATTGATCATTGATAAAAAAAAGAAATAATTTATTTGATCTATCATGGATGTATTAAAACTTGTTTACAGAAAAACACTTTTGAAGAGTTTTGATTCATTTTAATTATAAAAAGGAACTTTTATAGTGGTTAAAGTCCATTAAATCCTTGAAAACTGATGATGGGGTTGTATTTAATTTAATATTTTAGGAGTGTATAAAAGGTTAAAATGAAAAAGAGTGATTTCTTTTGCTAATTTCTCCATTATTTTCAAACCAATATGTTTAGACCCAATTTTAAAATCTGGAACAAAAAACAAAGCATGATCCCAGTAATCCACCTACTTCATGGAAACTAGAACAAAGCCAAATTAAATACCGAACCTTCTACCGATTCGGTCGTTTTGGTCCGGTTTCTTCGAAAGCCCATTAATAGAAGAGATGCTGACCCATTGTTTAATTCTCTCTCGGCAGTTCAAAATAAATTTGGTCAACAATACATACAATATTATCAGTTTTCATTTCTTATAGAAGATTACACAAATACCAGTAGTAGAAACTATAGGCATCTGCATTGGTCATAGTCTCTCATCAAATTGCTTAAGTATATGATAATGATATAATTGATTCTACAATTAAATTATAAACATAAATAAAAGAAAATCACTGAAAATAAGACACATATTACAAAATTTTCTTGTGTTTTACTTTTGAACGTTCTTACTCTTTTTTTTTCTCTCTACTTTTTATTTTAATTAATGTGTTTATGATATTTTTTGTCAAATCCGCAGTTGCTTACTTTCTATCTTACCTTTGTGTGTTTACTTCTTACCTAGATCAAGGCCATGGATGCTTTCAGATCCAATTCCTATGGATTTAGCTAGTTAATCAAGATTTTTATCCTTTAAAATTTACAAGACTTTTTTCTTAGATTTTTCTATCTTTTGAAGACCACTAAAACTTTGTGGTGAATGATTGCTCCAATTAATCTATTTTCCTTAATTTTTGTTGCAAATTTGATTTTCTTTGCGTTAAAACCTCGAATATTTTTTTGGAAAAATGAATTACACATCATGTTTATTGGACATATGTCGAGTTTTTGATCACAATATAGATGGAAAATGAATTGCAATTATTTGATAAAAAATCGACATAATTCCAAATAATGGAAAATGAATTACACGCATCTACCAACAGTCTAAAAATAAATTTATTCTACTAGTAAAAAGAAAATAAGAGTCTAGCTTACAAATGCAGTCAATCACTTCAGATATTATTATCCAACTTCCTTAAATATGTAAGTATGTTGGTAATACATATGTTTTTTTACCAAAAATGATACAATTTTGTGCCTTTTTGTGCAGTGGCAATATGTATTGTATGTTTGTTAGTTTGCATGGCTAAGCTATTTTTCTTGGAATCATTGTTGGGAGACAAGCATGTGTGCACAATATGTTTTTTTTTAATGTTATATTTTTCCAACAAAATAATAATAATATTAATGATGAGATTTTTTTTATTGGTGGCTCTTGTATTTTGTTTTGAAACACAACTATATTCGTGGCTCTTGCGTAGTAAATTGTTTATGTTAACAATTTGAAATTGATTTATCCTCAATCTACAGAATTGGAAACAATTATATTTGTATATTTTTCAATAGTTTCCTTAGCTATTATCCTTAGTTGATTTTAATTTTTTGATTCTATATAATTCATGACGCTTTTAAGTATTCTCAAAGGTTAAATGGGAGAAAATAGTCAAAAGGGTAATCATCATGAGTAAGAATTCTTTGAACCATGTTTGACACCCTCACCAAAGATGAAATTGATGCTGTGAAACAATCAACAATGAATGAAATTGCAAACCAAAAAGGAAATTTTATGAGTTAAATACATGGTATATTCTACTATCCGGATCACAATAGTGATTTTCATGTATGAAATTTGAGACCATAACATTGCAGGGATTCATTAGCATAGCTATTACGTGATGACAAAACAAACAAATATTAACAAGAACGAAATGAGACAGTAATAACTACATAAAACAAAATGGAGACAATAACTACAGAACAATATTATAATTTACAGTCAAAACATGTTTCCTATGGAGTGTTAAGAGGAATTACATATGTAGTATATACTTTGATGTATATATAAATGTAAAGTTATAGATGGAGTTCTACACAAAAAAATACAATTAAGAAAAATAAAATATGAGAGAGATGTGAGGAAAAGATATTAGAAGTTCTCTGCACATATTCTAAAAAACTCATATAAGTCTTCTTTTTCAATATTATTTAAATTTAATCAACTAATCAAAATGTACTTAAATAATAATATTCCTGCATTTACGTATACATTTCGAGTTTCTCCCCGATGGGGATGCTCTACTAGAGAATATGTCTCTAGCCATTATATTCAATTCACTCTGGGCACTTGAAATATTACCACCTGACAAAAATAAACATTTTTAGTATTCCGAGTTTCCGACAATACGTAAATACATATCTTTGTTAGTTTGCATGTCTTGATTTGTAGGAACATCAAAATCCTTTAGGTTATAAGAAGGACGTCACTCTCCGATATCCATTGCATGCTATTAAGATAGTTACTCTATGCTATTGATTTATCACCAGTTTGTGAGTGTTCTAATAATCTAAACAGTTGTAGACTTCTAGAGAAGGAATATTTTGGTGCTTGCAGCGGAAAGCTATAAGTTGATTATGGAAAA